CATGACAAGCATGACTCCTGTGCAGTTTGGTTGGGATGATGACGACTTAGAGAATGACTCAAGCGCAACGAGAGTCTTATTTATTATTTCGGATATTACGGCATTGGTGACTTGACTGGATTTGAAATGTCAATGCTTTCTATTTAGGCAACATTCTGAATTAAAAGTTCTTTATGGACATTCGAAAGTTTCTTTTTATCGAGTTAAACCAAAGTGGCTAATAAAATATAGAAAAGGACACGGCCCGCAGCCTAGTTCACTGGCCCCCAACAAGGCTGCGGGTGTTGCTCGAAAGGCAAACAGCAGGGCGAAGCGAACTGGATTATTTATTGGGCGACCCAGAAAGCTCGACGTGGCCAGCGAGGCCCATTGAAAATGCAAAATGGCCACCAATTAATTAGTAAAAATTATGAAATGGAAAAGCTAAAAACTGAATACGAAACTATAACTGAAACGGAAACACGAAATTCATTTGAGTTATGCGCCAGCGAAACGCAGCTGTCCCACTTACCACCCTCTGCCCCCACCCCTCGTATGCCTTTCAAGTGTCCTTGCAGTAAGTCCGAGGCACTAACCTGCTAGCCCTTTGGCGACCTAAATACCAGGCAAGGCTGGAAGCTTGTATACCCAAAAATGCAAATAGTATTTCAGTAGTAGAAAAGGCATAAGTAATAGCAATGGCATTTGATGCACTTAGAGAAATGAGAAGTAGAAAACTGTAGCTCAAGTTGATGCACTGACAGAACATTATTTTTACTATTATATAATTTATGTGATTTACATCAGAATTGTCGCTGTTGCGGAAGTTAGCTTGTAATTTTTGAGATTTTCTTTCAGTGTAAGCCTTAGCTGTTCCAGTTTCGGGACTGGCCTTATCCATGTGGGAGTTGTCCTATTGATTTAATTTCCACTATTCTTAGTGACGCAATGCGCGACGTAGTCGAATCGCGTCGAGTCGAGTTGAATGCGCTGTCCATGTCGCTGTCGCTGTCGTTGTCGCTGTTGTTGTTGTTGTTGTTGCTGCTGTTGCTGTCGCCGTGGCGTCCCAGCAATAGTCCTGAGACGCCTCCAAGGGGTTGTTTTTGTTTGCCACACTGCCACAATGCCACATGGCCCATTGAGCTATGTTTTTGGCTCTAGTTGTCTGCCGGCGCCGCAATGACTGCGCATAGTTTTATGGTTTATGGCGAGGAGTAGTTCTCAGTTCCCAGCTTTCGATTCCCAGACGACTTGTTATGGCGCCTTAGGACGCTATTGCTATCAATATTTTGGGCGGTGGCTAGAGTGTCCCTTCGACTGATGCCACAGCTGCAGCTGGCTGCCAAACATGACCTAGACACTTTGGTCTAGTTGTCTCTCTAGTGCGATCAGCTCTAACATCATTCTCGAGGTCATTGCAATGTCATAGAGCCGCGCAGCCAATTAGCATTTAGATTAATTGAATAGTGACTAATGATGAGCCACAATCTGCATCTGGCTTGACACTGACTCAACTTCTGTGTGCCAAAGAGTCTGAATGTCTATTGAAAAAACCCAATAGAAACAACATGTTGCATAATTTTTAGAACCACCCTTTTTTGAAAATTAGATTAGTCGAATTAGTCATATAGGAATAAAAACAATTTATGCAAATTTCAGTCATTAGGAATTTCACATTTATTTTATTTTAATTGTTTTTTAACTATAAAGTTAAATTGTATTAGCTCACCTTAAAACCAACTTGATTTGGGTTTGCAAATGTGTTTTCTATTAATTTCAGTAAATAGTAATTTTTATTGAAACTGTTTCTATATATGTATGTTTTTATCTTCATCAGAAAACGAGTAACAATTTAGCTAGAAATTTGCCAACTCAACTGAGCTAACAATGAGATAATATTTGTGCGCAACTCTAAAAACAGTGCGAAACTCATTCGAAGGGGATAGGCGAGGAGTGTTTGGGGCAGAAAACATGAAAAATCGTTTGTAGTAACAAGTGCGCTTTGCACTTGAAGTTGTTTAACTTCGGCTCCTCCCTCCGGTCACTATGCCACAGCCTCTGGCAGCAGACAACAGCTGATAAGACAATTGTCGGCCTTTGTCTTTGGCAACAGTGTGTGGGTGAGTGAGTGTGGTCTATATGATATATATATACGTACATATATACAATATCGTGTGTGTCGAACAGGTTCTATGGCATTTTATCTGCAGTTAACGAGTGCCGCTGACCCACTTGCATAATGGTCTTATGTCCAAGAACTTCCTGATTTTAAGACAAACATTGCCAATTGTTTTGGATCTGGAGCACCAACCACTTTAAATGCTTATAGTAAACACTATTTAGTGGCTGGTTTATCAATGAATGTTGTGTGCTTAAGATTTTTAGTACTTGTATTGGCTTCTAGTGAATCACTTCAAATGGGTTGACTGTCAGCCGTGCCCATAAATTTCCTTATTAGCTACGCACATCAACCGCAATTAAGTTGATCAAACGATATTCGCACAATATATTTTGATAGCTTTCTTGATTGTCAATGTGTGTGGTTAATTGCTCTAATTTTTGCATGCAAAATTTTTCAATGATTGCGAACACAAATAGAAAGCAAACCGTGTCAGAAGAGAAATAATTATTATTAGCTGAAAAAGCTTATATTGTTATTAGTTTTGCAAAAAAGTTTTGCAAATTTAAATATTTTTATTGTTCCTTAACGAGAAATATTTAAATGGCCCGCCATTGTATGCAAGCTATAAGAAGCTGATTGCTATAGCGCAACAAGTGGACAGCGCCGGAACACGAGTGAGTTTAAAATGTTTCTGCTTTTAATAATTTTAGCTATCTGGTCACACTTTTGGTGCTCTCAAAATAAATTGCAGACAATTTGTCTGAGTCTCCATAAAAATATAAACATATAAAGTATGGACAGCAACAACGACTTGTCAGATGAGTTAATAAGTCGCCTTAGCGGTGGAGGCGGCCTGGGTAAGTCATGAATTATCGCTGGCGATGAACAGCTGCCGCAGCTCCAGTCATGGCCAACCGCACAGGTTGACATTATAGTGCCTGCGTGCAGTCTGTGTGCAGCAACAGTTGTCAGCTAGCTAATCTACCCCTAAAACATTGCAGAGGAAGTGATACCCAGCGAGATTTTTGAAGAGACGAACATATACGAGGATACAAATGATGTGGAGAACGAGCCAGACGACATTATCATCGTGCACATGGACATTCGGGAACCGCTCAGCACGCTCAAGTACATTTATTCAAATATATACAAATTTTTACATAGTAACTTGAGTTTCATCTTACAGAAAGCTTGTGGAGCAAAAAATTGGCGTTGAGCTAAAATACTATACATTCTGCTTACAAGATGCGCAAGAGGTAAGAATTCTTACAAAACCGCCGAGACATCAACTAAACAAAGTCAATTGCAGCTGGAGCCCCATAAGAACTTGGTCGATCAATGCGTCAAGGGCGAGGGTCTAGTGCAGATCAATGTCCAAATCCAGACTACGCACAAAAAGATCAACATTGCGGATGTGCTGAAGCCCACAGAGGCAGCGCTAGCCACTCTGGCCATCGAGGAGGCTGCCCAGCTCAGTGCCCAAGACACCAACAGCAGCAGCAAGAGCTCTTCCAGCGGCAGTCCCAGCAAGGTCAGCAAAAAGCGCAAACATAAAGCCGATGAAATATGTGATGTGGATGTCATGGATGAGGACAAAGATGCCGATGTGGAAGTCACCAAGCCCGTGCTCAACTGGGTACTGGATAGCAAGTTCAAACGCGAGCAAATCCGCCTCAAAATACCTGAAGCAGTTAGTGAATGGTCGCCTGCGCATGTCGCCCACTGGCTGGAGTGGGCGGTCAAAGAGTTCGACCTGCGTGACCTCAACATGGACGAGTGGCGAATCACGGGTCAGGCGCTGTGCGCCATGACGCACGAGCAGTTTAGCCGGAAGCTGCCCCGTGATCCGGGCAATGTATTTTGGACGCATCTCCAGCTGCTCAAGGAGTGCAATTTCGTGTCCGTGGTGCACAAACAAGCCGAGGAGCTACGCAAGCCGAAGCAATCCAAAGCGACGGCAGGTGCCAACATACCCGGAGTGGGCTTGGAGCAGCGTATTATGCGTAAATCCTTTCAAAGCGTTAAGAGCAATGACTGTGAGTAGCTGATCTATATATACTGAATCCCTTCAGTCAATCGTATTTCCTCTTACAGCTTCAGATAGCTCGCCGGCGCCGCAAAGTCCCAGTCATCATAACAGCATCGGATCTGGCAACAATGGCCAAGTGCAGCTCTGGCAGTTTCTGCTCGAGATCCTCACTGACAGCGAGCACACGGACATCATCGAGTGGGTGGGCACCGAAGGCGAGTTTAAGCTAAGCGATCCGGATCGCGTTGCCCGTCTGTGGGGCGAAAAGAAGAACAAGCCCGCCATGAATTACGAGAAGCTTTCTCGAGCGCTGCGGTACTACTATGATGGTGATATGATATCCAAGGTATCTGGCAAGCGCTTCGCCTACAAATTCGACTGTGATCTGAAACTGCTGATAGGCTACGATGCCAGCGAGCTGTCCCGGTTGGTTAACGAGCGCAAATGGGCCCACCATCTGCAGGCGGCGCACAAGGAAGCCGATGCCGATGCGACATGACAGCCGGACACTGGTGTCAAGCGAGAGCCCGATATCCTGTGGAAGTACGAAGCTCCATAGCGCTGGCTAATTGAAATGCATTTAAATATTTTTAGGCACATGATTTTATTGTTCACTTTGTTCATAATATATTATTATAGTTATTCACTAAGCATTATAATCTCCGTCTCTATAAGCTATCGCTATAAATATCATATATGTAGGTACTGTAACTATCTATATAGTAGGTATCATATATGTTTAGGTATTATATCGATTATTGTTCGATTATACGTTGGCGATTTTTGTAAAATCCATAAAATTAAAAACAGAAATACATTTTCCACGCGATTTCTTCGATTTTCATTTGTATGTTTGTGTGTATGTGTGAGTTTTTGTGATTTTACATGACTAGTTCGCTCTGTAGAGGCTAGATGATAGACTAACTACGGTTAAGCTAGATTAAACTAAACTAAACGTTAACAGTTAGCATCGGCAGCTAAATGTGCGTCTCAGTTTGTTGATGGCCTGGCGGAATGTGCTCAGCTCTGGGCTGGACTTACGCTGCACATGGAAGCGTGTAGCGTAGCCAGCTTTGCGCTAGGATAATACTCTTCCCTCTGCTGCTGCAGCGGCCGACACTAGAGCTCAGTCGTGATCTCGTCCTGCGGCCGAAAGCCCAGCTTATAGAACTCATCCTCCAGCCAGAGCGAGCTGGCATTGAGATCCGTGATGAGATTGCCGCTCTTCAGCGTATTGAAGCTGCTGCCAAATGGATCCGAGGCGCGCGGCTCTTCGAACTCGTGCAGGCTGATCAGCGAACCGAACAGATGCAGCTTCTGCTGTGCCGAGGCGCTGCTGCTGCGATCTCCTGGCAGCAGATCCGTGCCCAGCTTTTGACTGGGTGGCGTCCCCGCCTTCTGCTGCTGCTGTTGCTGCCTGTAGATGCTGTGGCTGGGCTTCTTGGGCGCCGCATACAGCGCCTCGGAGCCACCGCCGCCCGCATGGGAGGTCTGGAAGAAGTCAATCAGCTGACCCACTTGCGGCTTATAGCGCTCCAGCGCGTGCTCCGACCACGCATACAGCCGCGCCCAGTCGTGCGGCGGCGTGGGTATCAGCTCAATGGGCCTGTTCAGCAGTATCAGCAGCTTGGCCAGGTCCCGGACAATGGGCCGATACGAGTTGGCCGCTGCCACCTCGCCGGACAAGTACAGTTTGCGTATTTGCCGGCGCGTGTCGTTCAGCATGGCCAGAAAGTACTCCGCATTGGGTCGCATCTCGTTCAGCTGACGCATGAAATCCGCTCGATCCATTGTGTTCTCATTGATGAGCTTCTGCTTGACTGACTTGCGCCGTCGCTTGCGCCGCACCAGCATCACGGCCACGGCCAGCAGCGAGAGGCAGACCAAGAAGCCGCCCAGCAGACCGGCCAGCGCTGCCATCAGCGGCCCGGAGTAGCCAGTGGGCACACAGACGCGACCCATGAACTCGGTGTGGGCCGACCATTGATCCAGATAGCCGGCGGGGCATTCATCCACGCATTGGCGCGTATCCGTCACCAGGTACAGTGGACACTTGATGCAGCCCGCCTTGTTGCAGCGCAAACAGTGCGAGCTCGTCGTCACGGGGCAGCCTGCAAAGAGAAAAGCGCCAGAAATTGGGTTAGTTGGGTTGGGTCACCATTGAAGGTCTCTCAATTAGCGCTAGCTCACAATCGGCATAATTGCTGCTCATTTGCATAGGGTAACGTCTGCTGAAGTCTCCCACAGTCAATTCCCTTAATGACTGTAAATTAAGTCATCCATCCTATTGAATTATCAGTGAACAGCAAATTACACTAGTGAACAAATATCCGATAGAATTTATCAGGGCTTAAAGACTTTTAATCAAAAGTATTTATTGTATAGACGGAATCTGCATATGATATGTAAGTATGTTGTTTAGTGTAAGGCTGACTCTTATACGTTGCACCATCAAAAATCTTGGTTATTTATTGTAATATTAGACAGACATTCAAAGTGATATATATTTTTATTTTTTTATACAATCAAATCCTTGTTATCTTATATATTTTTTAATCATTGCTGTCTAGTGTAATTTTACACAGATATTCTCAAAAGTTCTCCATTTTTTTCTTCTGTTGAATCTATATTTTATAATATATAACTCTGTCTATTATTATACACTTTTTACCTTTTAAAACCTAAAATCCGTATTATCTATTTTCTCTTCAAAATTCTAATCAATCTCTTCATTCTGCCCATTAGAATCGCAGTTCTTGTTGTCCAGTGTCAACTACGCATATCATGAAGATTTTCCACTTTAACTGGGCTTTGTCACTGGCTATTTGTTTTGTTTGGGCTTTCAAATTCAAGGTAAACCCAACAAAAATTGTTTGACTTTTGGTTTATGAAAGAAACCAAGACGACGACGACAACGACCACAACAACAACAACAACAACAACATCAACATCAACGCATTAGCATAAGAAGTGTTGTGCACACAGAGACACAGACAGTTGACAGACAAACAGTCGGACGGACAGAGAGACACAGACTATGCTACATATTCTAGGAAGGCCTCCGTCCAATGGGAAAGTTCAATATGAGACGCGATGAGGAGGCGCATCCCAAGTGTTGTCGCCGCACATCAAAAGCTTTTTTTGACAACTGCAACGAGAGACAACGCAATGCGACTCCCAAGCAGTTCAGTTGTTGTCGTTGTTGTTGTTGTTGTTGTTGCTGTTGTTATTTTTGCTGCCATTGTTGTTGTCGGATCAGCAGCTGGCCCATTTATCTTGGACTGAAGTGGCTGTTATACCCAGTGCAAAAGGTGAACATAGAGTATTTGGGTTAAACGCGAGGACTTGTACTACAAATGAAAACAAGCGAATCTGCTGAGAATATTTTAAAAATAATCTAGAATATATTGCTCTACATATGTATGTATGTTCAACCATACCCAGAGCAAGGTCCATTGAGAGAGACCCCTATAGTCGTACTTATAGAGTGAATAAGGTAAAATAAATAAGCTTGGGTTTGAGAGCCACAATTACAGTTTAAGAAGCATTCGATCAATAGAAACGCGTATTACTTGAGCCTTTTTTTCACTTTGAATAGGAGTACAGAATTTACTTTTCTAGTCTGATCTCAACTGCTTCTGAACTCAGTTATTTCCCCACTTTATATTCACCCTCACACGACCACTGAGTATGTTGTAGTCGTTCACTTGCGGTTTCTCGTTTCTCTTCAACAAAGCCTTGGCGGTTTGTCTGTGCGCCTGTCCGGTTGTCCGACTGTTTGTCATTGCACCACGTACGCACCTTGTCTGCCCCGATTGCCATGCACTGGGCGTCCGTCGTTCAGCATCGGGCTGGGCATCATCAATGGCATTAACTTGTTTTAGCGCTAATCAGACACAACCCCCGAGCAAATGCAGCCACATCAGCAGCAGCAGCAGCAGCGACAGCAGCAACAATTGGATTGCCGATTGCCAATTGCCTTTTGCCGACTGTCTGTTTGCCTTGGCCATGGCCAATTCCCAGGCAAGAGCTGTGCGGATAATCAGTCGGAACGTAACTCGTAATTGATATTGTGCAGTCCCGGGCCGGCTCCGCTCCGCCACCTGCTACGACCCAGTGGGCTGGTTCTGGGCGTGCAGTTGATCAACGATAATTGGTTATTAAATGGAAGATTGCCTTACCCCCAGCTCCTGCTGCCGCTGCTCGTCATGTAAATGCACTGAAATTACAGCGCCCAGCCAGATTACAGTGATACACACACATACATATACATATGTATATATGTATGCTATATATAAATAATGATATCTCGATTGAGCCAGCAGGATTCCATTGGCATTGCGCACTTGAGCGGAATAAATGCATAGCAAATGCTCCTCGGACCGCGCGTCGTAACTCAATAGAGATTCAATTTAACAACTGATTGAATCACAGATCGAAACAATTATCATTGCAGCCCTAGCACGATTAAGTGTTGCGTGTAATTATACCCTGTACGCAATAAATATAAATGGATTGAAGGTGTGCCCTCCATGGAAAATATTGCGCAAGCTTTGTGACTCTACATATAGGGTAGAGTTTTTTATGGGATTACTTGAAATACTCAAATACCATATCCTATGAGAGTACTTGAATATACATATATAGAAACTTAACTCTTTTCGTCGTTTTTCTGACAACAATAAATACTCTGTATAGATAATCAACTTGTTGGAATAAGTTCTATATATATAATAATTAAATATCGTTGCCCATTAAGTTTCACATAAAGTATATTCTATATTCAGATATCACAGATTAATTTATTCTGTGTTCAACTGCTAGCTACAACAACACTGATTAGAGGGTATCTATTAGCTAATCATTCAATTTGTAGAAGATTCATTTATCATCTTGATAGCTTATCCACTCATTTGCATTTCTCAACACTCGTCGCTATCATAACTCAATCAACAACAAACTGCGCCCTATTCAGAATCTGACACGCCCACACTGTGAGTTATGCAATTCTTTAGGTATATATGAACTAACTAATAACAAGCATTAGCTAAGTTTTGGTTAATGAGCAACAACAAAAATTACATAAATAAACTAAAAACAATATTTAAACTTTCTATCGCTGACTCAGAGCAGCTGAGTAGAAGCTCTCTAGACATGGGAATTAAATACCACAAAACATGTGAATTTCGTATTGGCTAGGCGTGTCAAAATATCGGACAGTTGCCCAGCTATTTGACAGATATACTTTCACTCAAAGACAGCTGCAACAACACCAAAGCCTAACTGGTAATTAGTATATTGTAAAATGTTTATCGTGCTCAAATCGCAGATCGGCGCTTAAAGCGTTAATTTTATGACGCGTCAAATGAAACACGCATCAAGCTGACTACATAAAAGACCATTTGCTGTGGGGGAAGTTCGTGTTTGAATGGCAACTATGACTAATGCCCCAACAACTAGGGATGTGAGCGTGAGGCAATTGATCTAATAGGACACGAATGTGCATTACGATTGGCATGGCTAACAGAGTAAATGGGGCTTATTTTTAAGTATATTAGTTTAAAGATTTAGCTAAACTTTATCTAAGACAAAATAAGTCTAGAGTTTATTATTATCGATTAGTATATAGGATTATTTCTAAATATATTTAATATGAGCCAAGCTTAGACTTGATCGAATGTCTAATGATTAATTTAAGAAACCAAACTCAAGTCACAAAAATTTGATTTTAATCCGTCAATCAAAGCAAATCTTGATTGTAATATTCAAATTGAAATTTTTTTCTATTTTTTTTACATCGCGAACGTGTCACGCCACGACACGCACCCATCTCTAGCACTATAAAAAAGATAATTGAACTGGTTCCACACGCTCAAGGTCGTTCCATGTGAGAGAGTCGCGCACTGAAATTGAAAATTGGTTATCGAAGATCAGCGGCAAATGTGGAGCCAAACAAAGCCCAGCTACTGTCTACAGCTGGCTCTGCTTAGCCAAAACCAGGGCGTGGCCTTTCATGTCAGTTGAAAGCATTGACATTTGCATGCAAATGCTGGGCACAAAAGTTCTAATGAACAATGGCTAAAATCTATTAAATATACCGTTCGTTTAGTTTATGTACTAAACGTAGGCAGGCAGGAAGGCACGAAGAGTGAACAACAACGCGTGGGCGTTGCCAAATTTGTTATTAGGCCCCAGGCCGTGGGGCGGACTGTTCCATAATTTACCACAAAATGCTTTGAACTTGCTACGTGCCCGATCAGCCCCGTCAGCTGCGTGGCAATTGAGTTGACTTGAGTCGAGTCGAGAAGAAAGTTCGCCCGGAAAGCAAAGCAATGCAAACTTTTACCAAAAAATATACAAAAACAAGCCAAAAGATTGTAGGGTGCAGGGCAGGGCGGGGCGGAGAAGTCGTGCGGGGGGTAGCTGTGTGGCATGCCCAGGCGGCGTTTATTAAAATAACGGTACTTAAGTGCGCCCTAAGCAAACTGCACTTCGGTACTCGCATGCAACGAGCGGCATGCAACTAAATAAGCGCCAAGAGCAACTCGAAGTTCAAATGGGCGGCAACCGAAATTGGCACAGGACAAACAGAACAGCGTCGAGCCGAGGGAAGCGATAAGGGAGCAGAACTTTAATAAGCATTTAAGCGACATATATGACAAGGGCCAACAAGAATTAACAGTTAAGTACACAGTGGCCAAGAAGAAAGCAGCTCAAGTGCTGGCTACATCATAAGTGAGTGCAGAGCAGCGAGAAGATAAGGAAGACGCTTTAAATTACACATGTTAAAGAAGTTAACAAAAGGTAAGAGAAAAAAGCGAATCGAATGCTCTGTGCATACTGAAAGAAGTTGAGCTTCATACAGTATAATAATAATGAATATATAATGAATTGAGTTCTGTCTAAAGCCAGTTTAAAATTAAATTATAATAATTAAAAATTAAAAATATTTCCAGTATTTATATTGAGAGGTGAAATTAAATTTTAAAGTTATGTTAATATCAAATATCTAAGATAAGAATTGATCTGAATTTTGTTACCAGGTTTTAACAAAGATATCGAAGAATAGGCATATTGAAGAAATTAAGTATTATAATTAATCGATACACTA